TCGACAAGACGAAACCAAATTGGCATTTGATTATCACGTCCTCCGATTGGCACCCCATTTCAATGACACGCTACAACTCAAATACAATGCCAGCACAAGTGCCAGTGACAATAACGGCGTGACGTGGATTGCCTATCCGTGGCCACCGAGTATTCGAACGCCCACTGTGTCCGCCAAGGATGTGGCACGCATTGCCGTGGCACTATTGCTCCAACCCGATCGTCTTCCCAATGGTGCCGTCGTTCCAGTCGCTACCGATTATGCCAATCCCCATGAAATGGCACAATACATGACACTCGCGATTGCTAATGCTAACGACACCAACAAAGACACCAGTATTATTCAAGCCCATCAACCAATTTTGCTCAAACCACACGCCATGCTGTCGTACGAACAACAATGCCTCGTTGCCATGGGAGATTACCTCGCGCAACAACAATCCCAACTTGGAATTGTCAAGGATGATTGGGGTAAAAAACAAACCAAACACAAGTACAAACTACAGGATATTTTACTGCAACAGCAATCGCAAGACAACGAGGAACCGCTGGAAACCGTACAGGCATTTGTCCAACGTGTCTTTGGTGCCGGTCAAACCAAGTAGTACGTAATGCGGGCGATCGCAACGACGACGACCGCTGCCTTTGGAAAAATGATTTTGGTACCATTTTTTTTTAAAGGCATCTGGCTCGCTCCTGTCCTCTGCAGTTTGGGATTGCAAATGCCCGAAACCACAATTCGCTCGATTTCAAACACAATATCATACTAGACTACTGTAGCACCTGGCTTTTCCCCTTCTAGCTAGCCTGGTAGGCAGAATTGACCGGTCGTACGGTAGCTTCTAGCTAGGGAGGCAGGCAGATTGACCGATCGTTCCTACAGCGCTACATCCTAGCTACCGGTAGGCTTAATTAAAAAAATATCTGCACATAATACATGTATACAATATCGTAACATCATCCTTTGATAACAATAAACAAAAGCTGCCTATAAATTCCGCATGATACCATACTGGACTTACTTGTCCATTGCATTGCAACAAAGGGCCAACACACAAACGCTGACAAAGCCGACCCCGATCCGTCACAAATCGAATTCAATCGAATCGAATAAACCCACGAGGACTCTTTTTTCGCACCGCCACTTCATTCATGGATCAATTCGGGGGAAAAACTACGAGAACTACGCCTATGTAATCATCTATACCGTTGGTTCCCGGCCCGATGGGCCCATCCTCTTCTGGCTGCAATACATACAGTATAAACTTAAAAATTAAAAAATAATAACTACATCCCCCCAAAGGGTTATGTTCTACTATTACATTAAAAACGTCCGAGTTGGCTCAGTGCGCAACACGCTTTGGACCGTCGGAAAGACCCACGAACTGTACTTCCGTGAAGGGCATGCAGGTCGCGGACACATCCGCCAGAACCCATCTGTACGTCAAGTTGAAGTGACCCTCTGCATCACTGGGGCAGGGATCTGCATGGACTGGGCTGTGCTCCAGTTGCCAGCTCACCACAGCTGCCTCCAACCCTGACAGAGCCTCTGGTGGATGGCTACGAAGCCCGATGAGATTGTTTTCCTTCTGCGCTCCCTGCAAAAGAAAGAATTTGCACATGTTAATTCACAGGAACGTGTGATCTATCAATATGATAACACGTGGTTTCAAGACCCTGACCCTTACCAGATCGCCAATAGAGCTGTGCAGTCGTGCCGTCCTTTCCCTCTCCTTCTTCCTTGGGCCAAGAGACGACAGTCGATGGGACATTGCTGTTCGGCGGGACAGTCAAACCTTGGCGATTCCAGCACTTGTTTGCGGCCTTCGACCCACAAAGGGTGATTGTCTGTGGAAACAAGGCTGATAACTTTCAAGATCTGGCCGAGTGTCCGTAGGCTGTTGTGCTGAACTGTGTTTGGGTGGATCTGGACACTGCCGGCATCTTGGAGCCGTGCCTCATGAAGTGCTTTGTGCAGGGGTGGCAAAAGAGCTGTACTGCGAATGACAGGCAAAGCATATTGGCACATACCAAGAAGAGCCTGAAAGTGCTTTGTTACAATCTCATCAGTGCAAAGAATACGATGAATCACATCACACAGATCTTCTACTATTTTAGTCGGAAGCTGCATGGTCAAATCTGATGTATCCATTCGATGGCCGAGGATTTCCTGGCAGCTGCAGAAGGTAGAATAATTATCTTTGGCTTCGCAATAATAAGGTTTGACTATTCTTGAGGTCCCCATGGCGATCAGCTTTTCAGCAGCTGGTACTACTGTACGGTACAGTATGTATAGTGATAGACACGTTGATGCTACCGGTACGAGCTACTAGGCAAATCAGACCACACAAGAGACAACAGTGGCTTATTCTTCAGTGCGGAAGAGTGGAAAGTCCGTGGTGGATCTGCCCACAGTCCAAATAGGAAATCACGGACGCAGGCTTCTACCGGTAGCTAGCTAGACTATTTCCAGCTTGTTACTCGATCGGCTTGGTTATCGAACGCGTCGAGCAGAAGGCCGTACCGTAGCATTGCCATTGTGGATGTTTCGTGCGGAAAAGATAGCGATTTTCTCAGTCGTGCGTAAACGTATTCTTGGTTCTTCTTTCGAGAGATGGGCGAGCCTAATTTTGAAACCGGAACCACATTTTACCTGGACACAGCTTGATGATTGACGGCTGTCACTCCACTCACAGAAAGGACATCGCACGATCTTAATTAGATCCTGGGGCGAAATGAACGCTGACGATGGCTGTCTCTTCTACCATCGTCCCATCCTTACGAGGGATCCTCTCGCGCCCCTCTTGCGCACCCCTTTTTCTACCGTTTCTTTTGTTCCTACACTATCATCCTTGGGCTTTGGGTGTTGCCGTGGGCGGCACAGTACAGTACTAATACCGTATAATAGTGGCAGCAATGCTAGTAGTAGTAGTCAAGAAGAAGAAGAAGGTTTGCGTCATCCCTGTCGGAAAGGTGAAAGCTGCTTTGTGCACAATCGTTTTGTCGATGGATTCCATGTCTTGCATTCCCTTTCCCAGTTTGCTCCAGCGATGGAGCACGATGTAACGTTGCATGGATGTTACTGAATCGAATCGGGATGACATCTAATGCCGTCAGGAACGCTGAGATGACAGGTATGCCACGCAAACGGAAACTTTCGAATCCTTCGACAAGCGCACAAGGCCAACTTTTGACCGCATGGGACGGGAATACGACCGCGCCATTGTCCAAAACGACACTGCATGGGCAATGTACTGACACTACTCCAACAACAAAAAGACGCATATAAATGGGAGCTCCTGTGAGTCTTTACTACGAAAACAATCTGCAAATGGCCAGTCACGTACCGCGGGATGGAGGGGACGACGAAACGGTGGTAATCTCGCTCTTTCACGATGCCTTGCCTTTGAAACCTTGGCCGTCAAGAATCACGGCGAGTTGATTGACACCATGCTGGCGCCGTGGATCCGACCCAAGGCGCAATAACTCTTGGCGCATCATAAAATATTCCAAGGATACTACTAGTTTGGAGACTACGAGGGATTGGATCCCAATAACATAGACATGATCATGTTTGGCGACGACCACAGGACAAACCATATGATGGAGTACGGAGCACATCAATCGTGCCAGTATTCAGCTTCCATCGCGGCTGAAGAAGAGCAGCTCGACCGTTGCTTCTCTGATAGCCACTTGAATCGTCAACAGTTCAGCCTACACAATACCTGGTGAAGGAATGCTCAAATGATATCGTTGGGGTGTTTTCTGTTTGGTTACTTTGATTATGCCGACGCACAACTATTATGTGCTGGGCAAAAACATGTCCGATTCTCTTCACTGTGGAGCCCCTTACGGCTCTCTGACTATTATAAAAAGACATACGATTTTAGCAAAAAGTGACTGAACTAAGTAAGTTTACTCACAAACTGCCGAATCGCTAAAACACAGGCTTTACTCTGTGGTAACTTTTCGGTTGTTTGACTTTTTCATTATAAAAAGACACATACACAAGGAACAATTGAGCAAATGGCTGGTGCAAATGATGGCAAACACATGCTGAAAGTGTCTGCACTTCAGCCACCAAAGAATCGGAAAAACTGGCCTACTGCTTCCACAAGCCCGTTGCAGGTCGGGGCAATAGGTGCTGGAGTGGCAAGCGGCGTTGGAACGGGTGATGGGATTGAGGTTTGGAAGGGCATGGGTGTTGCTGTGGCTGGGATACTGGTTGGAGAATTGGACGGCGCTCCTGTTGGGGCAGGGGTTCCGACCGATCCTGTTGGTGCATTGGTTGGGACCGGATCGGGAGAATTGGTTGGGAATGGATTTGGATTTGGACTCGGCAATGGAGTTGACACAATGGGGGCTGGGGTGGCTGGAGTGGCAAGCGGGGTTGGAAATGAGGTGGGGAAGGGCGTGGGTGCTGTTGGGAAGACATCCGAGTACATTGCCATTCCATGTTTTGCCATTCGACTATCAAAATGACGCACATGTGTCACCGTACCATCAACATCCAAGTCAAAAATGATATCATGACCGGCTCCAAGGAACTTGTTGGTGTTGGGATTCCACACAATTGAATTAACTACCACCCAATAGGTACCATTAGGCGGGGGACTCAGCTGCCCAACTGTCTCAAGCGTGCACGTGGATGGATCAATCGTGTACATGGTTGGGGTGGTCCATGTGATCAAATGGAGAAGGCCTGTAGTAGGGTTTGTGGCCATGCCCGTGATCTCCTGCCCGTGGTAAAAGATTGGCACTATGTTCAGGCATACAACCGTTTCAATACCTGTAACTTCATTCAACGAATACAAACTTGTGCCAAAGAGTCCATAAAGAACACCATGTCGAAATGCAATAGCTCCTGCATGCAAGTCTACCAGGGAAGTCGGGACTACCCCTACAGCCAAAGGGTCAAGGCTAACCCCAACTCGTAAAAGACCAAACATGACAGTACCCGACGGGTCCTGGTTACCCCAGATAAACAAGCGTCCAGATTCTCCAGATTCTCCAGGTCGAGATGCCATGGCGGCCGGAATGTACTGGAATCCAGCCACATCAGGGAGCCACATCACCTCTGTGCCAGTGTCACTGTCAAAGACGTAGATATAAAAGTTGTCCATATCTATGGCAATAACCCATGAAAGCGCCCCCCCTGCAGTGGGAAACGGTGTTGGTGCCGGAGTTGGACTAACATCCAAAGAATAGCTGAAAGTTGCACCATGGTATCCATCTGAGACAAGAAACAGGTTTTAGCTCCGACTGTGTGCACTAGCCTCAGGAAAGAAACCCAATGCCAACTTACAGACGTAAATGTAGTACGTTTGGCCCAAAGTGGTTGGGAAAGTAACTTGTGACCTAACAGAGCAATGGTCATCGTTCCCGACAACGCACTGCAAATTGGAGCAGGACCCAGTCCAAACACTGAGCTGAGTATCCCCACCTGCTGTATTACACAACGAAGCCACGATAGAATTGCCAGTTCCGGTAACACTGTAAACGGACACAGCAGAAAACAGCAACACATCAGGTTGCTGTCAATAATTCATGCATGGCATTTAGAAGCGCTTTCCTGCACATACCTGTACCAAACTCCAGGACTGTTGTGGTTTCTTGCAGAGCCACAAGATTGAGACGAGAAGGTCATAGCTGTTGAGGTGTCCCCGGTCAAAGTTGAGGGGATTGAAACTGAAGTAGCGCTTTGACATCCAAACTGAGGATCGGGACGTGGGGTGGGAGCTGCCGATGGTTCTGGGACATGGGAGGGAAAAGTGCAATTGAGCAGCAGCAGATTATGGGGGGTCTACTAAGTGAGGGGAGTTGATGGCATGATCCACGATTTTAAGGACTTACCTGCTGGACAGTTGTCCACAGCTGTGCAAGTGCTGCTGTCAATATCAACGCTTACCGACGCCCAGCCGGCAACAATAAACGACATTACTTCCGTGGTAGTGCATGATGTGGTAGGGCCGGTATTTGTGAAGAACTCACTAACTGCAGAGCAGGTTTGAGCGGCTGCATCCAAGAATGTGCTAGTTGATGAAAGGCGATAGATGTTGGTGTACATGAACAAGTTACCCAGCAGTATGGCGCATTCGGACTCAGATGTTGAGCAAGAATGAGCCTGGCACTCTCGGACCGATTTGACATACGCCTTGTTTGGGACACCAGCATTAGATCTATAGTCCTTCAAAGGAGGAATGATTACAGCGTTTGTGAGGACAGAATAGAAGTCAATAGAGAACCGGAACCACATTTGTTGCCTTACACCAACAGAGATATCGTATTCACAGACCTAAAGGCAATATGGGGGATGGAAGTTTAACAACGTGTGTGCGTGGCCTAATAGCTGGAGTACCGGGAACTTACACTTCCAATGGATCTACCGTCATCCGGCGGATTCTCCATGTACCGGAAAACAACAGGATGAGAACCTTTAAGCCTATATGAAAAGAAAAGGAGGATAAGAGGGGGCGGGGCAACCACAATCAACAGCGTGCGGGGAAGGTATGGGAATCGAAGGTTCAACTCTTTTCTTGCAGCTCTGCCTGGCGGCACCACTCACCGTTCCCCAACCAAAAAGTCTGGTGTATCAAGAGAATCGTTCACGAGAAATTCGATAACTGTGCCATAGATATCCGAGTAGCTGGTTGGAATCAGGTCGAGCACAGCGGTAAGATGAGAGTTTCAACATCATGAGGCTCCATGAAACTAAACCTGAAAAAAACCTACCCAACAAGCAAAGCTCCACTCTGCCCCCCAATGCCCAAACCGCTGCTGTACTGTGTGACACCACGGGCTACCACACCTGCAATGATGTCGATAGACGTGGGAGAGGTTGATCTAGGGCAATAACAATCCCCAACTGGAGTTTCTGTCATTGTCAGCAATTATGGGATGACGAAGGACTGACAGGTGAGAACATAGTTTGACAGGTACACACCAACATACACAGGGAAACTCCCACATACCATTTAAAAATTGGTCAGTTTTGTTGTAAGGTGCAAGTGGTGCATGAAAGTGAGTGAATGAGGTTGAAGTATGATGGAGCAATTCCTTCATCGCGACCTACAGAAGAGTTGGTTTTGGTAGTAGTTGGAACTGGTATCCAGAAGAAAAGGAAAGCAAGAAAGGATGAATGAATGGATGGATGCTGTTTCAAGCAGACCTGCACAAAGAAACTCCCATTGGGACGGATTCCGAGTCGGACTTACGTGCAGACTGGTGCATCAACGTGGGTCAATGCTCTCACTGATTGAGGACTGCTTGATGAGACTGCCAAACCGCCCATGACATTCAGAGCAGACTGCAAGTACTGGAGAGTTACCACTGAAATATAGTGAACATCACTCAGAGCATCAGCACAACCAGTGGGCAGCTCCGAAAGAACACCTGTGAACCAAACAGTAATATGAATGAAGTGTAAGGACAAAAGTGATGTTTGTTGGGTCTTATTAATCAGTTGTTGAAACTTACAGCCGCTAAGACGGCTAAAGCAATTGTACGTTCCATTATAGAAAACAGAAGGCACTGAGCCTGGGACATTGACAGTCCTTCCGTCGGATTGGGCCGTTGCCTCCGTCACAATAGCATTCTTCCCCGTGTTGTTCAAGTACAAGGATCGTATCTCCTGTGTGGTTGTGGTGCCAGAAAGTGTCAACGTTTCATTGATAGCACAGGTGTAGCATGACTCGGACTGAAGCTCCCGTTGGTCTTGGCGCAAATGTCTTCTTTCATTCACGGTTTTGGATGATGATAGAAGACAAATGCTCAGAATGGTGAGATCGTACGAGTGCACAATGACGCGGATAACATTGGTTTCCCCATCATCAGTCTTCACCAGCAAATCGGAGAAGTACGCCAAGTAGTCTTCTGGTTCTGTAACATAGATGTAGAGCTTTGGAGGCTCGATATTGCCACTATCCTTGTCAACTTGAAATTCTGTGGACAAGTAGTTAACGGTATCTTCCGCTGAAAAGAGAGGGGTATAGCCTCGTTTGACCTGGACAGACGAGAAAGATTTACCAGTAACCTCTCGAACAGTGAGCCCTGTGAAGCCAATGTCTTCCACATGAGCTTTGATGTCTGTTGTGGCTGCATCGGCCACCAGTTCTGCGCCGTAGCATTCATCCAAGGTTACAACCGAGTCGGCTCCGTAGACTGGGATGCCATTGATAGCTTCATTGATGCGCAAGCGCTGGACAACACAAGGCGAAGCCTCTCCATTCACTCCAGCAGTGGCAAGGCGGACTGGAAAGGCTTGATTGACAACAAACGAACTCGTGGCTCCATCATCTGACGAAGCTCGAGCATGCATGCCTGCGGCATTGTCGGTTGAGACAGTCTGGAGTCTGGAGTAGTCCAAGTCCGTACCTTTGCATCGCTGGTCTCCGTCTGGCAAGGATGTTGCCACAGATGAAACACTGGCAACTTGAATGGTGAGTAGTAGAGCCGCAAGAGCCCAACTCAGCGCTATGGTTTTGCGCCAATGACAAGGAGACAACAACATTTTTGCTTTCCTCAGTGCCGAAAAAACAAAAAGTGAGACTGTTTCCGTCGGACTTGCAGATTTCGGAGACTGAGTTTGGCGCGTCCAACACCCTACCACTAACCCTAAACAGTGCATTTGCGACAAACCAACCCGCAACAACGGTCGTCTCAAGAAGCAACGTCCAAGATGGGTGCGCCAAGATCTCTAGAGCTGCCAAGAGACTTCAACTGCAACTACTAAGGGAAATGCTTCGCTTGCGAGTAGAGCTTACGCAAGATGCTGCGACTGCTTCAAGAGCGTATTCGCGACCCGCATGGTCAATCCTACTTTTGGCATGGGGTTTGAGGCGTTTCCGCATCGCCAAGGGAGAGAATGGCCACTACCTTTTACTGCCATGCCGTAGCGAACATGCAACGCTCCAACAATTGTGGGTGTCACGCCGTAGCGGACATGTACCCTGCCGTACAGTAGTGGACATGCAACGCAACCGTTGGCATGGGGGCGGGACACATACTGTGCAGCTTCGCCAAGATGGGGGAGAATGGCTGGCCAGTACTTTCTACTGTCATGCCGTAGCGGACATGCAACGCTCCTTTGTGTGCGTGGAGTGCTTTGCCTACGAGGCAATTGAATATGGTGTGTGCGGCTTTGCTTCGATCGGTCGCTAGTATTTTAAATAGAAGAGGATTTTGTTGGCCGTCAGTCGAGTGCGACTGTGGTACCAGTGTACCGGAACAGCTGGACCTGTGTACCGTACGCACTGGCTATTACCGGTATTGCCCGTTACTTTTGCAAGAGTAAAAGTATATATCCGATACCGTAGATCCGGAACCGCGCTTTAACCTTAACACTCCGACGGAAGATACAATGACGCGACGGCCCCTTCCATGCAGTGGCAACCGACCATGCAACCCCGGCCCCGGCAGTATACGATAGGAAACTCATCCCCAATCTCACATCGGAAACAGTAAACACACAGGCAACAACAGCAATCAGCAGTATCGATTTATAGTCAAGAAGGCAATTGGCACAAGTCGACCGAGAAACCATCGAGATCCACATTGGTTGTAGTTGTACTCAAGGGTCACAAGAATGATTCGATTGTGATTCAACAACAACCACAGCCATGAATGATGATGTTTGCCAGTCCCAAGCGGAGACTCTCGCGCTAATGCGGCAGTAGCATTGCTACCGAAACAGCTAGCCATTCTGCCGCCGACCAACCAAAATGCCTATCCTTTCCAAAAGTACCGACGATGACAAGTTCCACTCACAAACAGCGCAATACCAACGAAACGGTGACGAAGGAAACACGCAAACAATTAATGCAACGAACAATGGGAATAGCGGTGCAGATCAGATGCAGAGCAAAGTGAGTGGAAATTAATTGGAGTGCTAGCTACTAGTGCGGTAGAGCTAGCGTACCGGCGAGACGTTACTACCGTATGGAGAGGATGGGTTAAAATTAACATTGCGTACCGGTGTGTGTCCAGGAGCCTTACGCGGAATTTTAGAAAAGGTACAAAAAATGGTGAAACCGAAGAAAGCACTGGTCGATCAAAGGGAGAAAATGAAAAAAGGTGGGGCGTTTGGTTATTTTTGTGCTTGTCATTGGTTCTTTACGAAACAACAGAGGACTGGAACAGGTTGTGTTGCCTATAGCCCTGGAAGCAGCTGCAATCTGCCTGTTCTGCATGGTTGCTTGCATGGTCGGTTGCTTGACCATTTTTTGTTGTTGTGGAAATGCTGTAGATGGCCAACATTTGGAGCTGTGGCTATACATTGCATTTCCTGATGGAGGATGGCATTGTTGCTGCTACAGGAAGGGATGGTTTGGAGTACTTGTGTGAAGTTCAGGATTTCAGCTTTTGTACTCTAGCAGAAAGATAAAGCTGATGACAGAACCGTAGCATGGAATACACAAAGGAGACTTCCAGAGACCTTCATAGGGGTCTAGCCAGCTAGGCAAACTCATCAGCAACAATAATCTACGACAAGAACAAGTGTGGACCTACTTTTAAAATTCGGCCGATGATGCCGCCCAAGAACCAAAGAAGCAATGATGCTGTTTCTTTTTGTTTCGGCACTGGCTACTGTACGTATATCCGATGGCCGTAATCGTGACTGATACTACTCGAGTAGCTACTCCTTCTGGTGCCATCAATGAACTTAAATCGTAAAGAGACGAGCTGGTTAGACTTGCTCCACAAGCAAGCAAACTTTGAATCCCAAATTTATTCAAGACACGAGCTACTTTTGAGTTCTTAGCATAGCGTTGTTGTTGGGGGTATTAGGGGGCAATTTTTCATGGGGTTGACCTGCTTGGCTTGACGTTGACTGCAAAAAGACTGAGCCGCATGACCAGAAAAAACAAGCACTGAACAGTGACTCCAGGTGGATGGGACGCTGCCGAGGTTGGGCGACAAAACGTGGTGATTCCAGCCATTGGATTCGTCAGCTTTGCTTACGGAATATGGTTCAAACATTCTCAAGGTCGCCATGCATACTACTGTACCGGTACTACAGTATGTAGACGTGTTGTTTGCTACGAGCTACCTAGCTAAAAACAGACGACAAACCACACAAAGGAAACAAATGTGTGTGGCACAGTGAAAAATCCGTGGTGGATCTGCTGACAGTCAAATAGGACATCGCGGACGTCGACTTCTAGACCATTCCCAGCTTGGTTATCGAACGTGTCGAGCAGACGGTACACTGTACCAGTAGCGGTTTTAGGAGCATCATTGTGGATGTTTCGAGCCAAGTTTCCAGGAAAGATTGCGATTTACTCAGTCGTGCCAAAACGTTCTGCTTCTGCCTTCGAGAGTGGGGCGAGCTTAAACAATCCAAACCGGTACCGGTACGGTACCACGAAGTGGTATGTACCACATTTTACGAGCTTCCGAAAGACAAAACGCAAACTTTCGAAACTTCTGAGCGGTCAAGCTGAATGATCCAGGGCGCTTGCCCTGAGCTCATAAAATTGTTACAGTCGAGAATTTTCTCTTCGATTTGTTCTTTGAAGCAGCTAGTTTTGTCCGCAGGGTCAAGAATTTCGGACGACCAGCACTAGTACGGGTACAGTCGTACCAACCGGGACGCATTGGCCTCTTGTGGCACAGCAGCCAACTAGATCAGGGTCTCTTTGGTGTGCTGGTTTGGATTTTTTGACCTCTAGCTACAGCTATGGTTGATTCAACAAAAGGTTTCCACCTCCGATCGTCTCGTCTCCGCATCGTTTGGGGAATTTCGTTCGTGGTTGAATTCGCTTTTGAATTTGAATCATACACAATGCACCGGCGTTTCCTCGTCATTCCACCCTCCTTCCACTCATGCGCCACACTTCCTTCGATTGTTGCTGTGGCATGCAAGAAGAACGGCAAACGAACAGCGTGATTCCATTCTGGACGTACCTGTATAGGTTGCCATTTGTGGGGATATTCTTTCCTGTCCGTGCGACTGTGCTGTAGCATCTTGTATCCTGTCGTCGACAGCCATGTGAATACCGGCTAGCAATGTAATCGAATCGAATCGAATCGAATCAACTCTGTTGATCGCTTCTCTACCGTTCCCCGATGTCGTCATGAGAGTCTCATCGATCGGTTCGATCTCCGTGTTGAGCCCACGTTCGGTTGGTTGTTGTCAAATCGGTCACAGACCTCTCCTCGACGCCTGAAAAAGCAGTCCTGTGCTGATTGAATGGATTAAATCCGTGAGTCAAGTAACAATCCTTGAACTCGCATCCTGTTTGCTCAAAGCCATCACAAGGCTTGCCTGTGGTGAGATAATAGTAGTCAGCATCCAGAGCTCGCCTACCAATGGGGCGATGGACGCAAATTCCTCCAAGCGCAGTCTAGACATAAGCAAAACTCAGCCTGATCTTTCAGGAAGGCACAAGGAAAAGGGGGCAGTTCCCATTGCTCTCCCAGCTTCGCGTAGTAGTTGGAATCGGCTGTGATGTCAGCGTTTGGGTTGTGAGTTTGGGCCTCCATTTGTATTGGTGCCATTCCCGTTTGTGGGATCCTCGTTGTGAGGGGTTGCGAGTCTGGGCCTCCAT